AATACATATTATATAAATATAGTAAGTAAATGTATTAAATATAGAAATTACACAAATCTATTAAATATATATTCTTCCTTTTGTTTTTATTTTTTTATTTATTTGTATCGTAACAATACCAGCACAGAATATTTGTGAGTGTTGCTTCCGTTATATTATGTGTGTGGTTATCTATCAGCTAGCGAATACCTTTATATTAACAAAAAAAAATTTAAATAAAATAAATTAAAATAAACTAAAAACAAAAGTAAATTAGATTAAAATAGACTAAAACAAATTAAAATAAATCAGTTTTATTATTTAATTTTACTAAACTATAAAAACAGAAAAAGGTTGGAGGAGCCGCCAGAGCGTTTGTGGTCTAGTGGTAGAATACCTCGTTGCCATCGAGGTGACCCGGGTTCGATTCCCGGCAGACGCACTTTTTACATAAAAGTGTTTATTTAATATATTAAATTAGTATATTAAATATATATATTAAACAAATATGATAAATAAATATAGTATATACATATTATATAAATATAATAAATAAATATAATAAGTACAGATCTTACACAAATATATTAAATATATATTCTTCCTTTTGTTTTTATTTTTTTATTTATTTGTGTAGCAACAATACCAGCACAGAATGTTTGTGTGTGTTGCTTCCGTTATATTATGTGTGTGGTTGTCTATCAACTAGCGAATAGCTTTATATTAACAAAAATAAAAAATAATTTAAGTAAAATAAATTAAACTAGAAAAAAAAATTAGATTAAAATAGACTAAAACAAATTTAAATAAATTAGTTTAATTATTATTTAATTTTACTAAACTACAAAAGCAGAAAAAGGTTAGAGTGGTCGCCAGCGCGTTTGTGGTCTAGTGGTAGAATACCTCGTTGCCATCGAGGTGACCCGGGTTCGATTCCCGGCAGACGCACTTTTTCCTTTGTTTAATAAATTACATTTATAATTTATTATTTTATGTTTTTTATTATATTTATTGTGTTTTTTATCAATTAGACGCATTCAGAGAGCAGGATTAGTGCTCTGCTGCTGCCTATACACCTGAGCAGCGCCGCTGCCTGCACACCTGACGGGGTGTATGCGTGTT